GGAACATGGAGGACAGAGGACAAAGGAAGGGAAGAGGTGGCATGAATTAAACATTTCCCTGACATAGGCGAAATAGTACCATCAGTAATACGCACTTTTTCCTGACCTAAGGAGGGGTTATACTCTGAAAATAAATTAGAGGAGCCAGACATATGGTCGGAAGCACCAGAATCAATAATCCACAGTGTAGTCGTATGAGATATTAATGCCTATGGAGAGGAAGCCAAGTTACCTGAATTGGCAAAGAAAGAAGAGGGTGCACTTGTAGCAGAAGTAGAGGTGCGACGGTCTAGCAAGTGGCGAAGAGCAATTTCAAAATTAGAGACAGATAATCCCAAAACATCAGCAGCTGGTGAGATAACGGGAGATGAAGGTGGTGGCTCAACCGTGTCGGAAAGATGTGCTCTTGTATTGGCCCCTCGGCCTCTCGACTGATCAGACCGACCCCCTCGAGTACCAAGGCGGTCTCCTCGGCCACCAGAAGGGGTTCCATGCAGCTTCCAACAAGTTTCTTTGGTGTGGTGAGGTCAACGACAGTAGTCACAGTAAAGTTGATCCTTTCAGAGAAGGGACGAGAATCACGAGGCACACCATCTCGAGGACGTGTAAAAACCAAGGTAGAGCGATCAGTAGTGACATGAGAAAGCATAGCAAAGCGGCGACTCTCTTCATTTTGCACAAAAGCAAAGGCTTTCTGGAGAGAGGGAAGTACATCCATGCCAAGCCCTCTTCTTCGAACAAGATCATACTCCACATTCAGGCCTTCCAAGAACTTGAAGACCCGCTCTTGCTCCACAAATTTTCGGTAACCAGCAGAATCAGTGGGACATACAGGCTTGTAATCTTGAAGGTGATCAAGTCGCTTCCACCCATTGTTAAAGAAGGTAAAATACTGGAGAATAGTCATCTCACCTTGCATCGACCTCTCAATGGAGTGACGCAACTCAAAAGCCTGTGAGAAGTTTCCTTTCCTGGAATAAGTAGTAGCGACATCCTCTTAAATATCCTGGATAGTGTCCATAGACAAGTAACCCTCACCAATCCCCAAAACCATAGAATGGATCAACCAACCCATAATCAAAGAATTAGCGATCTCCTATTGGTCATAACGAGGGTCTGTGATACTAGGTGCCTGGACCCTTTCATCCACATATCCCATCTTTTCTTTACTCTTCAAACAAATAGTCAGACTCTGCGACCACGGAAGGAAATTCTGACCATTGAATAGAGAGGTGGTGATTTTAAGACTAGGGTTAAGATTATCAGTCATAGGAGAAGGGATAACCAAACTGTCGCCCTGAGATGGGTGAGACGTAGTAGATTCACTAGTCAAATCTGCCATAGAGACTTTACTAACTATTTCTCAATCAAAATGCCAATCACAAACCCAAAAGATGAGAGTGGAGGAACAAGTACAAGAAGAATTAGAAAAGCAAAAAGAATTTAAGAGTCCTTTTTTTTTAATTTTTTAATTTTTAATTATATATATATATATATATATATATAAAGAGAATTAAAGGGTGTTTAATAACCAACCAATACAGACAAAGGCAAAACCAAAGGCAGAAGTCAAACCAAGGCTCAGAGGTGCCAACAAGAGTCATGCATACCAGAGACTTTGTCGACAAGGGCCACAAAGGCCAAAGGGACTGCCGATAGGCCCCTAAACAGTCAGAGGGACTGCCGACAGGCCCTTAGGGTCTCAGAGAAGCTGCCGACTGAGCCTAATAGGCTGTTGGGGAGCCTGGATGGGAAGCCGAAGACCTAGGAAAGGTGTCGTAGGCTATGGGTTACCTGGGTAGACTACCGACTAGTCTGTTGGACTGTGGGTGGGCTTCTGGCAGAAGAGAAGAAGGGCAATGGAGGGATGGGCTAGAGTTTTGGCTCTGATACCATGTAAGTTTAGAGAAGAGAAAGAGTTAGGGAATGAATGAGACTTCATCCTCTTTTATATTGATAATAATACGTAATTACAGGAGCGCCATTAGGCATAAATTATGGGCCAGCCCATTACATCAATCAAGGGAAAATAAAATCAAATAAGAATAAAATATAGCAAATATTATTTCCTATTCTAACATATTCTAACACCTTTGCTGTGAAGAGGTAGATTCCCATGACTTGAACCAGCACCACAGTGCTGGGAGCAGATAGAACTTGCCATCACTCCAAGTGACAACCTCTACTTATGAATTTTACATTATTGACCTGGAAAAACCCCAAGTGATGAATAAGGTACCCAAATAATAATAATTTGGGAGTGGCACCTGCTAAAAAGTGAATTCAGTTAATGAAGAGGCATCCCATGGCCTAATTCCTTTCACAGCTCTGTTAGGTTTCAGTTTCTTGGATTCTGTGTCGTCTGTAGTTTTTTTTCACTCTTTTTTATCTTCATCTTCCAAGCACCCACAAAATAAGAAGGAAACAGACAAAATTCCTTTGCATTTTAGATGAGATCTAGCTTCTGGAAATTTCATTGTCGCACTTTAATAACACTGTAGTACAGTACTGTATTGACAACGGTGTCAGTCATAGGAGAAGGGATAACCAAACTCTCGCCCTGAGATGGGTGCGAGGTAGTAGATTCACTAGTCAAATCTGCCATGGAGATTTTACTAACTATTCCTCAATCATAATGCCAATCACAAACCCAAAAGATGAGAGTGGAAGAACAAGCACAAGAAGAATTAGAAAAGCATAAAGAATTTAAGAGTCCTTTTTTTTTAATTTTTTAATTTTTAATTATATATATATATTTATGAATTACAACCTCCAAGTATTGATAATTAGGGAAATATAGACGAAGGGAGACGAAGGCATAAGTCAAACCGAGGCTCAGAGGTACCCGAAGGCATAAGTCAAACCGAGGCTCAGAGGTACCGATAGGAGTCATACATACCAGAGGCTCTGTCGACAAGGGCCACGAAGGACAAGGGGACTGCCGATAGGCCCCTAGTCAGTCAGAGGGACTGCCGACAGGCCCTGAGGGGCTCAGAGAAGCTGCCGAATAAGCCTAAGAGGTTGTCGGGGAGCCCAGATGATGAGTCGAAGACCTGGGAAGGGTGTCAAAGGTTGTGGGGTACTTGGGTAGACTACCAACTGGTCTGTTGGACTGTAAGGTCGGCTGTCGACAGAAGAGAAGAAGGGCGATGGAGGGATGGGCTAGGGTTTTGGCTCTGATAACATGTAAATGTAAGTTTAGAGAAGAGAGAGATAGGGAATGAGTGAGACTTCATCCCCTTTTTTGATAATAATACGTAATTACAGGAGTACCATAAGGCATAAGGTATGGGCCAGCCCATTATATCAATCAAGGAAGAGATAATTAAGAATAAAATACAATCAATATTATTTCCTATTCTAACATGAAGGACCATGGCTAGCGAGGGCTTTAGGTGAGCCATGGTGCTGCCAAATCGGGCTCTTCATACTACTCATTTGCCTATGAGCTCTTGTGACTAGGTCGGCAGCTGCAGTGAGTTCTGCACTTAGTGGTGTGTAGGCTAGGCATTCAAGTCAGCTGGTTGTGGTGCCCTGAGGTCTATCATGTAAGGATGTGATGATGATGATGTGGCACCCGTAGGGGTTGCCATGTGCTGGGTGTGGTTACTAGTACCCACAAAAACTAATCGACCTAAGACCAAATTGTGATCTAATGGAATTTTTGTTACTTCATTATTTGAAAAATAACACTTTCACTTGGTTGACCAAGGTAGTTATCTCAAACTATAAACTGATATAATTACTTTCAGGGAGTAAAGCAGCCAAGCTATTTGAAACCAAACCTTAGCCTTTATATGCTGATTAAATGTCATAGCAATCAGGACATAATGTGGCAATTGATCTTCACCAGACACATGGGTTGTTTACAGCTTTCACTTCTACTGAATTAATTTTGACCACTAGCTAGTAAAAATTTCAGTATAATCAACTCTGGACTCATTCCTTCGTGTATCTTGTGTGGGAATTGGTAGAGGATCTGAATTGTGTCTTATTTTGAAAGTTCCTTGTAATATCTTTATGTTTTTTCCAACTATGTCTTATTCGAGTTAGAATTTAGAGAATCAACTTGGCTTTTTGCTGTTTCAATTCAGCAGCAGCAAGAGAAGAACGAACCAGGCAAAAAATGCCCTTTCAAATCAACCTTTAATTTAATACAAACTGGATTTAGTGACAAGAAGTTACATTGCCCTGATTGGGCTATGGAAAGAAAGCTCAAAAGGAGATTATTTATTTCTGAACAAGCTCCTCTTTTAAAAATTTAGTTCAATTTTCAGTCCAGATCAGGATTTGAATTGTTCTGGACAGGTTACAACACAACCAAACCAAACCAAGCTTTAAGTTCCATCAAATGGGATCGGCTACATGAATCCTTCTTCTCTACTCGATACTAAATAGTTTTGGGAGATGAACTGATGTAGTTATGAAAGAACATTGATGCTAGTGACATTATGAAAGGATTCAAACAACGCGTTGATGAGAAAAAGTAGAAAGTAAATAGAATACTAGTGCCTCAATCGGTGGGCACTTAAAATTATTTTTAAAATTCTAGTGAAGCCAGCATGGTAAAAACATTGCTTGAACTATATTTTAGAAATTTACACTTCATCCTGTGGTAGTCAGAGAGAACATTGAACTTCATGGAAATTGCAGCATGTCAGACTCTGGGGCAGTAATAAGGAAAATAATGTTATTTGGTGTCATGCTTCCCAGCTTTCAAGTTCCTGCACCATTATAAGTAGTATGACTATATCTCAGTAACCACATGAAATTAAGTCTTTTGTCATGTTCACTTTGGTTTGCTGTTTCCTTACACTATTGAATGCCCTTAACTTGTTTGGAGCTTGTTCATTCTTATTTTTATGAAGTCATGGGCATATGTTCATTGTTGCTTTTGAGGATATTGCATTTATTATGGAACTGATTTGGCGCTTGCTGAATTTTATATTTGAGATAGTGTTGAAACATGCTTACTTTTACTATTGGATAATTTTACCTAGGTTGTGGAAATTGGATCTGTTGGGAAGGGCTTTAGTCAAGGAATCACAAGATTTTTCGCTCATACCTCACAGGTAATAAATAATTTGTTTTCTGGTGCTAACTTGTAAATTCCTATACATGATATATGCACTTCCTGCTTTTCATTTGCACTAACGCTGTTCCTCATTTTGTATTTACATCATTGTTATGACTAGTAATGAAGCAAAGACATGTTTAGTGTGTACAATGTCTTGTGGTGCTGACTTTGGAAAAGGTGAAGGTAATAGTGGGAATAGTGGCAAAGTTGGTGGTTGTGATTATGTGTACGGTGTGTAATTGGTCTTGTTTGTGAGTTAATGGTGAGGAGCCTAGGGAGATGATAGTGGTGTACAGAGATAGTGATGGCAGTAGTTTTAAGGAGATGAGGGGTGGTGGAAGTAACAGCAGTTTTAACTACGAAAAAGGAGAAGGGATTTGAAAATTTTGAAAGATAAATCAAACATCAAGTCATCAAGGGAAACGGAAAACCCTTGGTACAAGTAGCTTGTACAATGGATTAGCAATCGGCTGCTTTAGTCCAATAGCTCTCCCAACAAAGAAAAGATGCTTACTATGTTACATTACCTGCTGGTTTATGATACATAAATGGGAGAAAAATCCTAGCCAAAGCCTTTTATCTTAACTTTAGGTCAATTTACTTCGCCGAAAGGTATCAACATTGTTTGAAGCCTTGTTTTTTTATGGAGTGATTTGGTTAGAACCCCAAGGCGTTGACTTGGTGGCAAGGCCTTGGGTCTTGGAGGTGTGCTCCCTCCAAGGTGTAGAGATCGAAACTTCTTAGGTGTTAACAATTCCTTGGGGCCATCGGACTAGGGAAAAACACTTGTATTAACCATGGTACACTTGCGGGAAACTCCTTGCCGAGGGCCTATAAACCCCTAGGGATTAGTCGGGCTTTGATCTGAAAACCCCGGTGCCAATAAAAAAAAAAATGGAGTGATTTGGTTAGTTATGCATGAAAACTTACTATGATGGATCTCAATATTTAGTTGGGAGCAAAAGAGTCCCTAAATACCTGGGCCTAGTTTGTGTTTAGAGATATCCTGCATAAATGAGTATTTTGGATATTTCTTTTGTTAAACATCAAACGAAAGCAAAGCTGGTCATTTAGTACTTGATTTTGTTTTCTTTCTTCAAGACACTCTATTGAACTAATCTGCTCAAAATATGATATTTTATCTGCCAAAATGTTTTGATTGTAATCTAAGTGGTATCACATCTCTGATAAATAAATTAATATTCTTATTCTTTAATTTTTTCCACAAATAGGTTTAGCATTCACTATTCAGCATGATTATGACTGATACTTTTCTAAGTTATTCTTGTAGGTTTCAGCTGCCACAAATGAAACATTGAATGCCTTGCAACTTGCCCAAGACTCGCTTCAATCTAGTGGCATTAAGATCTCGAAAGCAAATGTGTCGAATCCTGGCATACCTCCATCATCGTTGATGGCTTTTCTGAGGGAGGTTTGTGACAGCATAAATGAAATTCTCTTTCCTGATTCCACTATCCATGGCTTTTCTGAAATGTGATCATTTTTTCAGTCATCTTTGAAAACTAATGTACAAACTTTTGTTCATTCATCTTGATAAAAACAGTTGAAATGGCTGTTTACCTGGAATGTCATGAAGTTACACTGGGGAAAAATATTTGTAGGAAACTTGTAGGGTAGATGCAAAACTAGTAGCTCCTGTAGCTAGGTGAATGTAGGATGGGGAGTGATACTTGCGAGTATGATAAGGGAAATAGGGGATAAACAAACAGGAATGAGCTAAGTTCCACCCTTTCCAATATGAATATGAGCTAAGCTAACCGAGTCCTCTCTACTGCATTCTCCTTTCCTTGGTCCTTCCGTGGTTCTCAAATGGTCAGGTTTGAAGCATCGTCCCAACCTAGTCATATTTCCTATCTCAGCACATTCTTCACCCTCTTTCTTCTCCACTTTCAATGCTACCGTCCTGCTTTCATATGTCCAAGACACCTTTGAAAGCCTTACCTTCCCTTACTTATAGAAAGGGGTGGGGTTGAGATAACAATAGGTGAAGGTTTAGGGATAGTGATGGTGGCCGGTGCGTGGTTCTGAGGGTTCTGTGGAGGCGCGGTAATGGGAATAGGGGTAGGTTGAAGAGGGGCATGGATGGAATTGGTGTTGGCCTAGGTTGTGGTGGGATGGTAATGAGAGCTGGTGCGGGCCTTGGTTGATGGTTGACATGGATTGAGACGGGTTGGTTGAGCACGAATTTTTTGTTCTCTATGTTTCTGTGGTCTGGCTGGAGGGTATTTGAGAAGTCTTCACTGAGCTGGCTCAGGCTTACTTCTATGGGGTCTGCCTTTCATTGAATTGAATTTTAGTGAGGGTCACAAGTGAGGGTTGTGGGGTAAGGGAGGCTGACAACTATGGATGGCTAGCTCGGGATAGCCGCCGTCGGGAATGCTACATGTGGGGCCTTACCAGTGAATAGTGTTGAAACCTAGCCCTATATAGGAGTGTTGGACCTACAGGGCTCTAGTTACGTAGGGGCAAGCATATGTTTGTGTCTGTCCAAGCAAGCATATTTGTGTGCATTGATTGATAGAAGCGGCAAGTTTTGGTTGGGACAAGCTATCGCATGCATGGAAGTGAGGCAAGCTATTTTAATTAATATAAAAATATACAATATGAATTTATTAATAATTAATACCAATTAATATTTATTTTTTAATTAATATTGATTTTTTTTTCTTTTTTAATTAATATTAATATTTGGGTATTGACGAGGGCATTTAAGTAATTTTAGTTCCCCACACCAACTGCGTGCTTAAGTCAAAAATTTAAGCACCCCTTGACCAGCTTTTGAGATAAGCTGAGAAATAACTTGATTTAAGCTATAAGCTGATTAATTTAAGCTGTACCAAACACAATAATTTAACTTAAATTAAGTTAAAAGTTGAAATAAGCAGCTTATAAGCCCTACCAAAACAGGCCTATAGAAAAAAGGTAAAAAAGACGACAGACTCGTGTGAAGAGGGTAATAGGTCCTTATTTTATTTACCATGTTACTATTTCTTGAATACAATGTTACTTGTTGAGGCAAGAAGAAATGTATAGGATTTTATGTTTGATAATGAATTTGAAATCTAGATTGCAAACTAAATTTGAGAAGTATTTGGTTTGCCAAATTTCTTTTATGCACTTGACTGTTTTTCAATAACAGAACTCTCAGATTTCTGGGGTTGTCTTAGAAGATTTTGACAGTGTCTTCACCAACCAATTCTACCATAGTCACCTTGATAATTTGTGTGAGTTGATCTGAATTCTTGAATTTTATTTATTTATTTATTTATTTTTACTTCAGCTGATTCTTATTGAATTTCACAATTTTTCCTCAACGGCTTGTCATTTTATCTTTGAATGTGTATCTTGTTGCAGCGAACATTAATTCCTCGGCCATAGAGGCTGCTGCTTCTCTTGTTGCCCGCACCCTTTACATTCTTGCCAGTGATAATAAGGATCCAAGTACTGTGGCTCTAAATGCTATCAATGTGAATACCTCTCTGGTTGAAGAACTTATGGGCTGCCTATTGAGCTGTGATCCAGGCTTATCATGTGGGCTGGTGCAGCACTATATTTCTCCCTCTGGCACCTGCCCAAGCCACTATGTTGGTGTCCTTCTTGGGGAACCTTCATCCACACCTTATCCTCCATATATTGGTGATGTTCCACGGTTTTTGTGGAATTTTCTGGCTGAAAAAACATCTGTTCCTTCTGAGAATTCAGGTTCTTCTTGCCCAAAAAATTGCAGCAACACTGGTCAATTGTGCATTCGATCAGAGACTGATGGGAAAGGAGTTTGTGTTGTCTCTACAACTAGGTATACCTTACTAGCTGGTTTAGTTTGAATTAAACAGTGTTTCAATGTCTGCTTTGGATATCTTTGGTTTGTCAGATTGCCTTATGTGCTCTTAATCTCTGGGGTCCTACCATGATTAAATTTTGATCCAATTTTGGAACTTTCTGCCTAACTCAATTCATTCTACCCTCATATTGTCAATGTAGCTCAAATGTGGAATCAACCTGTTGTGCTACTGTCCCTATTATAATATCAGTCCGCGAAACTGGGTCTGATCTGAGAATTCATTTCATTCCTTTGCTTTTATACCATTGTGACATTGTTTGTATACCAATCTGGTTCAAATAGCCATGGAAATTTAGCAAATTAATTTGCAATTTTGCCATTTTAAAATGTGATCATCGACATCAACAACCCATCCCTTAGATTTCCAAATATGTTGAGAATCAATGTGTAGGATTCGTCACATAACCTTGAGTTGGTGATTCCAATGCATTGGCTAGGTGATGCGACTAACCGTTGCTTATTGTTTCATAATTACTGATCACATCTGTTGACTTGAATTAACGTATAGTTGTCAACTTCAGGTATGTACCAGCATATTCAACCCGGTTGAAGTATGAGTCTGAAAGTTGGAAGGTGTTGACCCCCAATTCCTCTGATCAAATGGGGATGGTTGATCCTGTTTGGACGGAGAGCAATTGGGGAGTGATTGGGCTTCGGGTGTATACTGTACAGGATGCAGCTTATGACCGCATAGTTTTGATGGCGGGTTTTAGTGTTACAGTGTTGGCTTACCTTGCGATAGTAAGCACAAGAGCCTTCATTGCCAAGGCCTTGAAGCGGGATTGACATGAAAATACATTTTTGTAACCTTGTCTTTTTTATTTTGTCACAAAGATAGCCTTAAAGTATGGTCCACAGGTTAGGCTTCTGGTTATGGTACTTGTCTGACGTTGCCAGACTCTGGGTAAGTTTTTGAATTATACCCATAGAAAAGTTATGGGAATACAGGGGTGAAAAGAACCAAAAATCAATTGCATTGTACATTTTATTGTAGGAACTTTTAAATTTTTTGCACTTGTAGGGTTGTTGCTTATTTGAGTGGCATCACTGCAATACATCATTGAGACATTGCAACTAATTTAATTGAAATACATATATTTTTTTTATGCATCTTGTTAGTGTGTACCCTTTGGCACATGTAAGATAGCATAAATTGTAAATTTTTTGTTATACGTATTTTTCTGTAAAATGTATAATTTTTTAGACTTCAACATGCATTCTAAGTGCATCCGGCTCTTGGTTTTTTTGAAAATTGATTTTTTATTGGGTAAATTATACTGGCACCCCCTGAGGTTTATGTTTATTAAAGTTTTTTTCCTCGCTTTTTGGAAATTATATCTCCCTCTTGAGGTTTAAAGTTTTATTACAGATTTTCCTCTCAGTAATTTAATTTTTTTAAATATCAATTTTGCCCTCATTGGGTAAATTACATTGACACCCCTCACATTTTAGAAATTACAATCTCCTCCTTAAGGTTTAAAGTAATATTACCAATTGCCCCCTCTGTTAGTATTAGTTGGAAAAAAATTCATTGAAAAAAAAATTAATTAATTTTTTTTTTTTGTTAGTAAAATTTTTAAATTTTTGTTTAAAAACCAACTTTAACTTATTTTTTGAATTTGCGTTTTTTTTTTCCTCAAATTTACAAATTTAGACAATTATTTATAAACCAAAAAAATTATCAAATAAGTTTTTATGATATTTTTTTAAAATTTTTTGTAAATATAAATTGAAAATTAAAAACGAAATGGTTACTAAATAGGTCTCAGATGATAAAAATATTGTAAAATTAACAAATAATTAAATAAGCTACCAACGTAAGAAATGACTTATCAAAATATTCTTAGGCTATGTATGGTTTGACTTTTAGAAAAAAAATTTAAAAACTAATAATTAATTTGGTTAAGAAATAAAAAATAAAAAATAATTATCCTTTAAGGGTAAAAAATAATTATAATTTTAATTTTTGGGTAGGTTATATACATACGTATGACTGTTTTAATTTAATTTATAAAAATTTATTTCTGTTTTAATTTAATTTATAAAAATTTATTTCTAATCACTCGAAAGATAAAAATTAGGGTAAATTATACTTTACCCCCTTGTTGTTTGTGCAAAAAACACGGAGCTTCCCTGTAGTTTCATTTGTAACATTTAAACTCCTAAACTTAATACCAAATTGTAATTTTTGACAGATCCGTTTATTAACCAGAGCGTGAGATTTACGAACATAAAAGTGTAAGCAACACTCTCCGCTGCCAAAAATGTTACATTCTTGAACCAAAACACCCTTTCTCTCTCCTTTCATTATATAAATATGCAACAAACACATTGAAGCCTCTAAAATTGTCCAGATTTCTTCCTCACCGCATAGCAAAACCAGCTTGAAATTCAACGCTACCATCCACCATCCATCTCCATCTTATTTTTCTTTCCTTATCACTCACTTCATCCAACAAACTAGGGCGATACCCACTGTGACACTATTTCCATTTAGCAGCACTGCAGCTAATATATATATATACATACACATCTTCAAAAGTAAATCTCCAAATAAATTTGTCAAATGGATCGGACCCAGTTAGAATTAAAGGAAATTATTTTTTTGAATTGTTCAATAAAAGTTGCAAATTATAATGCAAAGAATGGTTGGAACTTGAAATAGTTTTTACTTCACAACTTCATATTTTTTTGGTCTAAGGTGTTGTATGTAGGTGGCTGCTTCAACTAGGACAGCCATGGCTTCTTCCATAAAAGGAAAAAAAAAAACTAGTGGTGAGTGCTAAAGAGAGGGGAGAAGAAGAAAAAGAGAGTGAAAAGGAATAAAAAGAAATAGTTCAAACTCACTTTCTCTTCTCCTTATATTTCTTATCACCACCATTTCTCTCTCTAAAAATTATCCAAATCCAATTTTTTCCTTATAATTCAAATTAGTAACAAACCCAACCCATGGAATCTAACAATTAATAGATGTAACGTTTAGATTTTTGAAATTCCATTGATGAGATTCATGCCAACAAAACCTACTTTATCTTCTCCAAACCGCATGCACAAACAAACCCGAAAATATCAAATTTTCAGATTTAAACACATCATTTCAAGCCCTTATATCTCTTTTATCGTAATTTCGTTTTGCCTCATTTTTGAGTCGTTGGATTCACCTCATGGCCTAGTTTTCGTATCACTCCTTACACGCCTCATTCCACTTCTTTTTGCATGCTTTCGGAGCTCTGAAAATTGACCAAAAATAACTTTTTTTTCTTCCCGTTTTTGACATTTCTTCGGCCCATCTTTCGAACTCCATAATTTTCTTAATTCTTAACTGTTTTGCCCCGTTCTTTCACCAATCTCTTCACCTTGCTTTATAATTCATCCTATGCAACCTCGTTTTCTCACTTTTTCTTGCAATGGGTTGTTTCGGCATGCCGAAATTTGTCCAAAAACCAACTTCACACATTCCAAAGAAATATCTCCAAATCTATTTCTTTCCTTTTCATCATCCTCCCTCTTCTGCTACGTTATCTATAGCACTCTGTGAATGGTGGTTCTTGGTTTTGACAGAGCTAGGCAATAGTGGTCATGATGGTCCAACAACGGTGACGACAGAGTTCACGGTGATGGTGGTCGTGGAGCTTGTTGGTAGTGTGATGAACCTTGGTTGTGAAAATGGGTGAAGGAGGTGGGTTTGGTGTTGAAAGGTGGTGGTGATATGGTGCTCATGGGGAGAGAGTAGATGGAGAGAGAGATACGAAATAATACGAATGAAATGACTGAGTAGAAAATATCTAAGGGCATTTTTGACTTTCTATTACTTCTATTACGTTCGTCCAAAATTACAGTTTGGTATTAAGTTTAAGGGTTTAAGTGTTATAAATGAAACTACAGGGAGGCTCCGTGTTTTTTGGGCAAACCACAGGGAGTTAAAATGTAATTTACCCTAAAAATTATATAAAAATGATAATTATTTTTTATTTTTTATTTCTTAACCAGATTAATTTTTAATTTTTTTAAAAAAAATTCTAAAAATTAAACCATACATAGCCTAAGAATCTTTTGATAAGCCATTTCTTACGTTGGTAACTTATTTAATTATTTGTTAATTTTACGATATTTTTACCATATGAAGCATGTTTGGTAACCATTTCGTTTTCAGTTTTCAATTTATATTTACAAAAATTTAAAAATTGTCATAAAAGCTTGCTTGATAATTTTTTTGGTTTATAAATGGTTGTTTCAGTTTGTAAATTTGAGGAAAAAACGTAAATTCAAAAAATGAGTTTATGTTTGTTTTTAAATAGAAATTTTAAAATTTTACTAACAAATTTTTTTTTCAATTTATTTTTTTTTCAAATAATTTTTTTTCCAATTAATTTTTTTTTCAATGAATTTTTTTTCCAACTAATACTAACCGATGTGGCAATTGGTAATGGTACTTTAAACCTTAGGGAAGAGATTGTAATTTCTAAAATGTGAAGGGTGTCAATGTAATTTACCTAGTGAGGACAAAATTAGTATTTAAAAAAATTAAATTGCTGAGGGGGGAATCTGTAATGAAACTTTAAACCTTGGGGGGGAGATGTAATTTTCAAAAGGTGAGGGGGTGAATTGTAATAAACATAAACCTCAGCGAGTGTCAGTGTAATTTACCCTTTTTTATTTTTTATTTTTTTTAATGATTTTTTTAAATGTTTAATGTAAATTTTTTATTTTTTCAGATACATTTAATCTAGATACACTTAAAATTATAATATTTGTGAATTTAAAAAAAAAAAAACAAATACAAAAAATATATGAAAATTCAGTGTATTTTTATATTTTGTTGTATTTAATGATTTTTTAAAAAAAAATTATATAAATTTTAAAATTTTTAAGTATATCAAGATCGGCCGTGCTACAGTCCTCGAATATTGAGGCGTGAATTTGCCTCGAATTGGTTTTTGTTTTTTTTTTTGCTGTGCTGGTTTGGTTGGGCTTCTTTTTTTTCTTTTTTTTTTCGGGGAGGGAAGTGTGATTATGTGTACCCTAAACCTCTAAACACTAAATTTTAAATCCTAAACTTTAAACTTCTAAACATTAAATCCTAAATTCCAAACGTAAAACGTTAAACCCTAAATTTTAAACCATAAAATCTTAAACCCTAAGTTTTAAACCATAAATTTCTAAACCCTAAATTTTAAGCCATAAAACCCTGACCCTAAATTTTAAACCTCAAAATCCTAAGCTCTAAATTTTAAATCATAAAATCCAAAACCCTCAACTCTAAATCCTAATTTTTAAACCATAAAACTTGAAATCCTAAACCCTAAATCTTAAATTTTAGACCATAAAATCCTAAACCCTAAATTTTAAATCATAAAATCTTAAATCCTAAATTCTAAATTTTAAACCATAAATCCAAAATCCTAAACCCTAAATCCTAAATTTTAAACTATAAAATCTTAAATTCTAAATCCTAAACACTAAATTGTAAATTGTAAATCCTAAAATCTTTGCAAATAAATAAATAAATAAATAAATAAATAAGCACCAAAAAATCAAGCACCAACACAGCCCCCCCCCCAAAAAAAAAAAAGATTCAAGGCATTCAAGGCCTCAAGCTTTATTCTATCAAGATTAAGTGAATTTAAAAAATAAAAAAATGATTAAAATATTTATAAAAAAATTATTAAAAATATGAAAATAAGAATTAAAAATTTCAAAATTCTAAACCAAACAATAATGTTGCAAAATTATGGGGGCTGGCTTGGAGAGGTCTTCCCAATTCACGCACAAGGATCTGTGGGGGCTCAAACTCTGGTCAGTAAGTTGTGCTCTATCTAATGTGCGAGCTAAATAGGTTCTACTGTAAACCTAACCTTTTTTTTTTTTTTTTTTTTTTTCCTTTCTCTATTTTTTTGAGTGGGTTTGTAATGGTGTGGGTTGTTTTTTGGGTTAATTGGTGATAAGTTAATTTCTATGAGATATGATATTAGATTCAATGATTGATTTTTTTTTTTTGAAAACAAGAAATTAATAAAATTATTTGGTGAAGAGGATAAATTTTTGTTTTAAAGAATTTTTTTCATTTCATTTTACCCATTGCCACTAGATGGTTGTTGGACCATAGTTGC